ATTTTTCTCGCCTAATTTTTCATTTTGCTGCCTTGTGTGTTTGTATTTCAAAAGTAAAAACTTTAGGATTTTTTTTTAAACATGAACCTGCAAGGCTGCAACAATTCTTTTTGGGGAAACTAACTAATATTTTTTTATACATGCTTTTTTAAAACTTTTCTCATATATTAATGAAGATGAGGTATGGTTGTCATATCATATATAGGATGTCTTGTCATATAGGGAATAGTCAACCTTTTTAAAAAACTATAGGCCGAACCCATTTTAGCAGATTTTTTTTGAAAATAAAATATGTTCGTTAATTAATTTAATTAATAAAATAATTTCGAGCCAGCTTGCAAGCTCACGAGCCAAGCCTGAACCAACTCGAACTCGAGCTCGTTTAATAAATGAGCTCGAGTTTGAGCCCGTGCTCGAGCTTAAAGCTCGGCTCGCGAGCTCGTTAACGAGTCGAGTTCGAGCCGGCTCACGAGCCGGCTCGGCTCACTTACACCCCTAGTTTAGGGATATAGAACATTGAACGATTCCTAATATTATAACTTTTTTTTTGCGGGTTAGAATGTATGCGACGATAGAGTTATGATCTTATCTCTTAGCGTTGCATGGATATCCAGCTCACACAACGAGAACACAAGATTTTTAAGTGGAAAAACCTGTAAATGGGAAAAATCACGGAGCCTCACCTATTTGAAAAAGATTCCACTTGAATTTGAGTAGATTATAGTGGGCTGACTTGCCCCCGAAGGCGATCAGATTACAAATATCAATGAAGTCAAGGGTAAATGAAAGTCTAAAGTCACTTGATGGTCTAGTGGAACTTCAGGGTCACTCGGTGATCTGGCAGAATTCCGGCGTCACTTGAAAGTTTAGGTGTCAGTTAGTAAAAACCTTGTTGTCCGTAGGTGGCTTAAAAGAACTCTAGGCATTAGGTGATTGTCCAATAGAACTTAGGGCGTTAAGCGGTGGTCTGATAGAGCTTAGGACATCATGTGGTGGTATGGTGGATATCAGAGCATCAAGTTGTGGTCCCACGGAGCTTAGGACATTAGGTGGTGATCCAGCGGTGCTCAGGGTGTCAAGCGATGGTCCGGCGAAGCTTAGGACGTCAAGGGGTGGTCTGGCGGAGCTTAGGGAATCAAGAAGTGGTCTGGTGGAGCTTAGGGCTTCAAGCGATGATCAGGCAGAGCTTAGGACGTCATGTGATGGCTCGTCAGATCTTAAGGCGTCACGTGGTGGTTCGGCGGGGCTTAGGAGGTCAGGTAGTGGTCCGGCGGGGCTCAGGGTGTCAAGCAGTGGTCCGACGAAGCTTAGGATGTTAGGTGGTGGTCTAGTGGAGCTCAGGGTGTCAAGTAGTGCTCCGACAAAGCTTAGAGTGTCAGGTGGTGGTCCGGCGGAGCTCAGGGTGACAAGCGGTGGTCCGACAGAACTTAGGAAGTCAGGTGGTGATCTGGAAGTCAGAGATTTAATTGGTGTAAAGTAGTAACATATTAATTTTATATTTATTAATTTTTTATTCATTTAGACTTATAACATTATTTATTAATTTACAATTGCTTGTTCATGAGTTTTTTTTTTAATGCATTGTATTTAAAATGAAGGGTTTTTTAATTTTTGGATATTTGATTAGGAGTTAAATAAATAAGTATGATTATAATGTATTTGAAACTCACATAATAGTTTATATTCCGTCTTTTAGAATATTCTGCGTGCTACAATAAAGTCATCAATCAAGACTTTTGCCTCTACATCACTATGCCCAAATCTCGTCTTTTAGAATATTCGACAACAGTAGGAGGGATCGCCTTCATCAGGAGGGATCGTAGTGGGTTAGTACTTTTTATTATTGAACTAATCTCATAGTGCTCTATATGAGGTATTGTCGAATGATTCTCTTCCTTGAGGCAAGGAGTTGGCTCAATGCATCAAATATAAATCATATAGAACACTTTACATGGTTGGAGTTGGACGAACACAATGTAAAGAGAGCACTAGTCCATTTATTTGGTTGGCTGGATTGTATTTGGGTGACAGAGGTTGGAGGGATCATAATGGATGAGTGACAAAGGTTAGAAGGACCGTTTGGGTGACAACAGTAGGAAGTATCGTAGTTGATAGGAAACCGAGATCGGAGAGACCGTTGTTGGTAGGCGATGGAGGTCGGAGGGACAGAGGGACACTAATCTGGGGGCTACAGTAGTCTAAGTGACGTAGTTGATGAGCAATGGATGTCAGATGCACTGTAATCGACAGGCGACGGCGGTCGGAGGAAGCTGAGCCAGCTATATACGATCGAACGTAGGTTCAACAATGATGGTCGAGCATAGGTATGGCAGTGGTTGCCGAGCATCAAGGTTTTATCGATGGTGGTTTGGCGGATAGAGCTCCAAGCTTCTTTAAGACTCATAACTCTCTTGAGTATCTAGTCCATGGTCCAAGACTCCTTGAAGTCCAAGCCCCCTTTGATGTGGTAAGAGGGAGTTTATTTATAGATTTTGAGAGTAGCATGTCCCATAAATATGAATAAAATTTTGAAAAAAATTAGAGAGCTCTATTGGACGGTTGATATTGATGCTTGCAATGATGGGGTATTAATTTTACATTTAAGTGCCTTAATAATATCATAATTAAGTGATCTTGGGCTCATTGTATTTTTCTCATCGAGTCGCTCGATTCGATCAAAAGCATGTCATATTTGGATATCATTTAATCATCCCATCAATTCATTGGAGCTTCTAAATATGGTTTAAGCCCTTAATTTGAGCCCATTTGGGCTTAGATTAGATTGATTTTAGTAGCGTTGGATTCATCTCACCGAGACATGCATTCAGTTTGAGTATAAATTTGTTGAAATCAGACTTTAGATGGTCCCACATTAAATTTGGGAAGATTACAACTTGAATATGCCTCAAGATTTGTGCATCAAATATAACTATATAATTTGATTTATAAAATTTTACAAATATTATTGTTGCGGGCTAGAATATACGCGGCGATAGAGTTATAATTCTACGTCTTAGCGTTGCACGGATATCCAGCTCACACACAAAGAACACAATATTTTTTACGTGGAAAACCCGGAAAGGGAAAAAACCACGATGCCTAGCCCAGTTGAAGATGATTCCACTAAAATTTGAGGAAAATATAATGGTCTAACTCGTCCTTGAAGACGACCAGATTACA